AGGCTTCACCTAGAAAACGATACATGGATCAGTATCACTGATCCAGTATGATAACTGGAAGCGATTTATGATTTATTATTGTACCTAGTTGTTGATGAATTATTGTACCTGTATATTGATAAACTGAACTTGATCTCTCGTTGTCGGCGACATGAAATGGACGTCGCTCTTATTCACGACTAAAGTAGCATCACTTTGATGCGCCACTTGCAATTTATAAGGCGTGATTTTAATGATCCAATTGTCCGTCGCTATGACACGAGTTACGCTATTTGTGACAATAACAATTTTATCTATTCTAAAATAAAATTGTATTATTTTAGTATAAATACTAAGTGTACTTACAACATGTATGTATGTGATTTAAATTCCTAAGTATAAGCTAGCTATTTGAATGAACCTTCGATACTCTGTATTAATATTTGAGGCAACAGCTGTCCATGGTGTATTATTATTACTATACACAGATAGATTTTGTGCTATCGGATGTGTGGCCCAGTCATGTGCAGACCACTCGAGGATCTTATTCAGCATATAAAGCGGAGCAATAGTGACACAAAGAATAATCAATGGTCCAAGATAATTTCCATCGACTAACAATACTTTTCCAGGGTCTATGTGGTCGAAGAAAAGCAATCCTAGAACATAGCCTGTACGAAAAAATCTTATGCTGTAAATGCTTGTAAGTGATGAAAGCAGACGACTGGATATAATTAGAGAAAAACGTGTCTATTACCCAGAGGTAGTGTAGAGTGTAGAAGTAACGTGGCTACGCTTCTCCTGATGTGATACTGTATGAAAAATTCATTTTCACTACCAAGCCAATTCGCGAAGACGTCTTTAACAGTCAACCCTGCTGAGACAAATTCTGTAGGCGGATAGATGATACATCCGGACATCAGAAAATAAAATAAAGTATAAAAGAGTAGAGCTGACATTTTTTCATTTAAAAATAGATATTTCCGTTTGTCTGCAGTGTAATAGAAATAGCGATCTAGAATAATTTCGTAAGTTACTTTAGTCCACTCAGCTGAGTTTCTTGTCAAAATATAATAATGTTGTGAGACAGATATATTCAGTATAGTATAACAGTAAGTTCCTTTTTATAGCATACTTAGACCAGAAACGGATCACAAAACCCGAGATCTAACCCAGATCGCAATGCAATTTCAACCTTGATGTTGACAATGGATGTATCTGTTTATTTATTAAAACTCCATTCATCAGCAATCACAAATCCATTAAAATTCATATAGGTTAGACGGGTTACACCGAACTTACATTTTTCAAGGGTCAGCAGACAACTGTTATTACGGGCGGATCTGTGAGTGCTATTGGATGATCTAGAAGAATACTCCAATAGCAGCGAACGCTCACGGATCCGCTCCGCAACAGTTGAATCTGCTGAACGCAATCATTGGCTGAGAAAACTGATCAGTGGAGCGCTCAGTGATTCTTCAATGTGATTGGTTCTTGCCTTTAATTCTTTGTTGTCATTTGTTTAATACAAAAGCTCTGCATCTATATTTGTAAAATTCAAACTACAAATTAGTAGATTACATATGAAGAAACAATGTTCTTGGAATTAGACTTAAACGCTTAATTAAAACGTTATCATTCTATAAACATTTATGTATATACGTACATTTTTTAAATACGTAGTATTATGAAGATATGTCAATGTCTTGCATCTTGACGATTCCATCAGAGTTCAGATTTCACTTTAGGATTCCCTTAAGAGATCTTTCTCGTTTAGAAGCCTAAAAACTGATTGTTTTTTGAAAGTGAATGGGGAATAAATCAATATATATACAATAATCGATTAAGACTGCGGTCCACTTGATGCTACAAACGCTTCGAAGCATTCTTTGATTAGTAAAATTCGTAAAATTCTTTGTTCTGATTGGTCACTCAAACGCTTCGAAGCGTTTGTAGCGTCAAGTGGACCGCAGCCTAAGATGAAACTTTTTTGTTTGTTTTAATAAAAAGTTTTATTTTATAGAGAGAGAGAGAGAGAGAGAGAGATTTCAGAGATAAAATAACAACTCCACTTCATTCCTTTTTTTGATCCATTGAATTTTCTGCATAAGAATAATTAACATCGCGGGAAATTCACGACAATCTCAGCGGTCCTATAATTTAAATATTTTAATATTTTTAACCAGTATTCTACATCGGTATACGAAGTTACTAAAGTAACATTTGGATCAAAATATTGAAATTTAATAAAATGGCAGTAAAACAAAAATCCTGTTTTTATTTTCAGAATTTTTTGGTATTATCTTTATAAAAAAAAGACCAATATTTGAAAAAATTTAGGGATTAAGTGCATTTTTTAAATTGCAAATAACTTTTTAAATATTGATCATAATAGAGAAATATTATTATTATAACATATAACTTCTCAAAGATATTATATAAATATACGTTTAATATTTTCCCATTTGTGGTATAATAAAAAAGTAACAAGTTATTTTAATTTTTATGAAAATCAAGATTTTGTAATTAGGCCTTTATTAATTCGCCCATCCCTTCAAATATAAACAAATTGTGGTTCGTAAATTGAATAGAAGTATCCGTAATAATTGTGCAAAATTTCGATCGGTCGTTTTTTCAGGAGAGTTTTCCGCGATTTTGTAAACATGGTTTGGGAAAAACGGCTTTAAAGTTTTAAATTAATTTTCTAATATGCATACAACGATAAGTATTGTGCATGTGCAGCGTTTTGTAATAGTCAAAGTTTATTTTGATTCCTTCAACTAATCCTAAGAATTCTGACACAATTATAGATTAGAAACCGGTTTCATGAAATGAGCACAATACACGTACTCGGCTGTTAACCCTCCGCTATTTACTCGATTTTCGTCCTGTGCAAAGTCTCAGAAAATGTTCATTAAAAACATATTTTTTTTATTTTTCTCAAAAATATACTTTTTTTCAAAACTTTTAGAACTTAATTCTATGTATATGTAGTTTAAAAAATATAATTTAAAAAATCATGTGTTGTTATCTGAATTATTCTAAACCATATCATCGACCGAAATATACACTAAAAATGATTCTACATAAGATGGATTTCAAAAAAATTTTTAAATATCTGAAATATCATGAGACAATCGAGATATAAGGCGTTTTAAAAAACATATAAATTTTTAATATGAATTTTTTATAATTCCTCAAGATATCTTCGAAATTTTAAGATAATTTTCAAATATCCGTCATGAAGTTCTCTGAACAAAACTGGGACCTCGATTCATCGAGTATTAACATTATTTGGTCGAGAGACGTTCAAAAGCGAAACATACAAAAGAGGCGTGAGCAGCAACGTGGCGCCTTCAAAAGCGAGGAAATTCAGTGAAAGAGTCACTTGTCCAGTGACAGTGCTTTTGAGGTCAGTAGACCGCGTATAGGTATAACTTGGTGCGCGCGCGCGGCGGGTCCCGCCATAAACCTTAAATCGCTATTTATGACCATCCCAGCGTATCTTTTTATATAGAGATGCTTGTTCAGTGGCGTAGGCTTTTTCTCTTTGACATAGAGCAAATATCCAGGCAACAATTAGACGTCCTTGGACATCCTTCGACGTCTGAAATATATCCTGAAAAGTCCAATTTATATCACTGTATGTTAGACGCCTGAAATACGTTCTAAGGACATTGCTTGGACGTCCTATAATAAAGTTACAGATATTTTAGGGATGTCCAAGGTACATTGCTAATATATGTTACTCATCATTCAATTTTCAAGCAGTGCGCGAACAATTTCGTCGTCAGCAAGATCCGAGGATCAAGAACTATTAAACAACTTTATATATATTTATCTTGGAGCTCAATAACTGTTCGGTGTCCTTCTTTTGTTTTCAACAATTTATTGATCAGAAAAGATTAATAATTTCCGAATTATCTGTGAAACTTATTTGAGATTAGACGTACTAACGACGTCTATTAGACGTCTTTGGGGGCGGTACATTGTACGTACAAAAGATATTTATGGGATTTGATTTGGACGTCCATCCGACGTCGAATTGTTGCTTGGGTATCGTCGATCTCGTCGCTGCCTGAGTGCGCATCGCGCGATGACGATAAACGCCGTCGTCTGTAGAGCTGCAAAACTACCCCGATGAGTCTTCCCTTTTTTTTCAGCACGTCCCAGAAGTGCTGGAAGGAGTTTTAAAAAAAAAAAAGGTTTTTTTTTCGCACAAGATATAATTGGCAATCTTGAGACTTCCCGGATTTTCAAAATATTTGAAAATACGTGTTGCTCCGAATGATGTACGCGATCTCGAGGTTCTCTCTGTTTCAGCATTACCTAAGTTAGCACCCAGACTACGTCACTGGCAGGGTCCCCGTGACACAGATCAGCGGCGGCAACTATAACGGTACCCACCAGTGTGACCTACTCAACGAAGTCTCGCTCTCTCGATCCTTCCTCCTTCGTCCTCTCTTCGTTTCACGTCTTTCCCGTGGACTCTCCTTTCGTCCAGGGCCGAATATTCAGCTGGGCCTGAGTACAAAACTATTCGGTAGTCATGCAAAGATACACGGAGCTCGAAGGGCGCAATTCTGCCATCGTAAATTTTTCTATTTTTGATCGCGAGCAAAGAACCTCTATCTCTTTCATAAAAAAAAAATAAAAAGAAACAGAAGTTGATATACCTTTAGAGAGATTGCATTATCACCATAACAACGTTTGAAAACTAATCCTGGTTTTTTGATCGCAATTATTTAAGACCTCTCATTTTCGGGTTGCTTCTGTAAAACTAAAAGATCTCGTCCAAACGATCGCATTCAGTTCAACTGGAAATCTAATGAAGAGCCAGGACTTAGGTGAGGTGAGACAGTTAGCCGCCACTGCCGCATGTATAGCATCTTCTCTCCCGTACGCTGGCGGGCTACACTTTTTCTTCCACATGAAGAGCATCGCCACGGGTCGCCTCGTCGCATGGGCGGACGGTTGACCGGGCCGTGGCTGATTACGGGCAGTAATGAAAGCGGCCTGCTTGCACGAGGTAGGCAGGTGTACGCCGCCGTCTGTCATGTAGCCTTCCCTCCGAAGTTTCTGTCGCATGTCTTCTGCCGCATCCTCGCGTTGAGGTCATCAATGAAGCCGATAGCCACTGCTGCTGCTGTTGTTGTTCTTCTCTATCTGAGTGACCACGCGTGAGTGCGGGGCAAGCGAGTAGGTTGAACGTTAGTTAGTCGCTTGTCACGAATTACACGCGGGTCCAGCCACTGGACCAGCGAGTCAAGATCTCCGCGAGTTATGAAAGCAATTGTGCCTTTCGTTCTCCAGGTGAGTGATGAATGAATGGTGAAGATATCCTTACTTTTTTCCCGAATGCGAATTATGAACAGAATGTCGTACAGTTTCTTCATGAGAAACAAATTGGAAGAGAAAACGACAAATTAATGTTTGATATTTTGGAATTATTATATATTTAATTTTTGAGAATCGAGAATTTGGTTTTGGAAATAAAAGTATTTCAAATATATGCCCAGCCCTATATGTCCGGAATCGATTCGATTTTCCTTGAAATATACCATTAATGAAGATCAAAGAGATTCGTAGAAGAAATATAGTTTTACAAAAATATTAATAGAGTAAGGACATTTTAAAAAATTTAAATATTTGAAAAATTAAATAATTGTAAATTTTAAAAAGATAAAAGTTCTGTCTAAAATATTTTTGTATATAATCTTACCATTTCAACAATATTGATTAGAATAGAAACGTTTATAGCTTTAAGAATTGTTTTATTTCTTGAAGATCCTTAAAAAATAGGATATACATATATGTATATATATAAATGTGTCTCTTAGAAATAATAAATAAAGGGCGAAGTAAGAGTCAATACGTAAAAATTATAGTCCGAAAATTGGTGAAACATGAAAGATTGAGTCAGTGTGAATATAAAATATAAAATAACATTTAATTAAATAAATTGAGAAACACATAAATAAATTACAAGTTTCGGCTACCAGATTGAGCCCTCTTCAGATACCGTTTTACATGGATTTGATATACAATAAGTTCTTGTAAAAACGCATAATAAATCTTGTTCGGATGTAAAAATCTACGTCGTTCACATGCCATTCGTGATCAATGACTCTCGAAAATCTAATCACAATACAATATAAAGTCACATTACAATATAAACGTATAAATTCAAACAATAATAACTTACCAAAAGGCATGTGTAAATTACTTTAAAATTTTTCCATAGAAAACGATTGTATATGGTATGTCGGTATAAAGCGAACATTGTGCGACAATTATAATGTACTTTCTTACACATCCGGTCGACGATACAGATCAACACATACTGAGAGAGGAGACGGAATGTTAGTAACAAAGAGTCAAAGTTTATTTATAATAGGAGTATATGCCTTGTGGAGACCTTCCGTGTCAGTTTGTAAATTTAAACTAACGGTCTGCTTTTTGAGATGTTGAGCATCTCGGAAGTTAGGCGTTTCCTGTAGCAAGGTTCTTCATCTAAAACTCTTACGTTGTCCCATTGGAAGTCATGGTCATGTAAATGTTGACATTTCGTTTTTCTACAGATATGTCGATGACATTTGTACTGCAGTCCTTCCTTCAAATATCGATATTTTACTGAAAAAATTTAATTCATTCCATCCACGTCT